CCATAGGTAGAGATTTAGAGAGGATGAGGATGTCATCCAAATAAAAAAGTGTCCGAATAGGGATAGAGCTAATGTGGGCCATAAGGGCTGCCATCACCTTAGTAAATACCCTGGGGGTGGAGGATAGGCCAAAGGGTAAGGCAGTATACTGAAAATGCTGACCCTTATACGAAAACCTGAGGAACTTTCGATGGGGGGGAAAGATGGGGATGTGGAGGTAGGCCTCTGTTAAGTCAATGGAGGACATAAGGTCACCCCTCCTAATGCAGAGCAGAATAGTTCGGAGTGACTGCATTTTAAAACGGCGGTATCTAATATGCTGATTTAGAGATTTTAAATCAAGGATAGCCCTCCAATCCCCAGAGGCCTTGGGAACTAGAAACAGGCGGGAATAAAAACCCCGGCCGCGTTCGTGGATAGGGACAGGCTGAATAGCCTTGATGGCTCGTAGATGTTGTACAGCCTGATCAACTCTAGCCCTTTTAACAGGGTCCAGGGAAATGGGACAACGGAAGTAATGAGTAGGAGGGTAAGACTGAAACTCAAGCTTAAGGCCAAATTTAACTGTGTCCCTGACCCAAGAGTCAGAGACCGATAAATCCCACTGGTCAGAAAAAAAGGATAATCTACCTCCAATAGTGGAAGCAGGGGGATCCCTAGTGAAACCTTCGAAAGGGACGCCCCCTTCCCCCACGAAATGAGGATTTCGAATTAAAGTGGGATCCCTGTCTGACCTGATCTCCGGAGGGTTGTAGTGTCCTCGAAGGGAAGGAACGGCGAGAGCGGTGCTGGAAGTAGTTGGAGTCGGATCCACGAAAGAAAGAGCGGCGAAAGGAGCCCTGAGACCGTGGTTCAGAGCGACGAGACACGGAGGGGAGGATTATACGATGGTCCTTTGTCTCGATTAGCAGCGGATCCAGCGGAGCACCGAATAACTTGTCAGCCGCATAAGGAGAAGAGGCGAGACGCCACTTATTTCGGGCGTCCGCCTGCCAATTCCGGAGCCAGAGGAGGTGGCGTGAAGTGATAGATGTGCCGATGGCCTTGGCAGAGAATCTGGCCGCATTAAGCGTAGCATCCGCGGAGAATTCGGCAGCTGCGATGATTTTATTTATGTCTTGATGGGCGCGATAGTCAGAAGCCGGAAGACGGTCCTGCAGCTGGCGTAACCACAGGATAGAGGCCCGGGTGAAAAACGATGCAGCGGAGGAAGCTTGAATAGACCAAGCAGATGCTTGGTGACCCTTGATGAGGGTCCTCTCAGCCTTCTTCTCCTCAGGCCGCAAATAATCCTCCGAAGGACCCTTGGGGAGGGAGGTGGTAGATAAAGCCACAACAGGAGAATCTACGACTGGAACCTGTAAAAGGTCGGAGAATTCCGAAGCCATGTTGTAGAACTTACGATCCAGGTTGTTAGGGATTGGACCGGTGCTGGGAGAAGACCACTGGCGTTTCAAGACCTCCGAAAAAATTTTGGGGGCTGGAATAGTATCCGACTGCACCTTGGGTTCTTGAAACAGGACAGATGTAGGATCAGCAGGCGCAGGAGGGTTGGACGAGGAAGAAGTCTCAATCCCGAGCCGGGTGGTAGTCTTGGCTTTGTAAAGAAATGATCGAAACATGTGTGGCTTGAAAAGGCCCACAAAAGCTGGCTGATCAGGCTCAAGACCCTCATCATCTGATAGGTCCTGGTCAGGTAATTCCCCCTCTTCTGACACAGAATCCTGGCTCGCCGAATCGTGATCAGAGACATCAGCAACAGCGTCCTCGTTAGAGTGAAGGGCAGGAGATCGAGAGATGGCCCTATCCGACCTCTTGGAGACAGAAGAAGCAGGAGCCACAGAATGGTGTTGTTGAAGGCCTTGGGCAATGCCTTGCCGGATAGCTTCAGAAATAAGATCGGCCAAGGAGGCCCGCATATCCAGGGGTAAATCCTGTGCCTGCAGAGAAGCAAGAGGCCCAGTAGATGGAGAAGGTGAGGCCTGTGGAGCCTGAACAGGAGCTGGAGAACACTGGCCTTGCTCCTTGGAGTGCCCAGTGTCAGAAGGGAAAACCGAAGCCACCTCAGCTGTGTCGATGACATCTCCTTGGATGGACCTGTCAGGCGATAGGGCCCTAGGAACTCCCGAATGATCAAGGCAATCAGAGGAGGGAGGTGAAGAAGAACCTTGAATAGCTCTGGAATGAGCCTTCTCAAAGGCCTTCTCAATGGCCTTGTGGCGCCTGTCCTCGTCTCTGGAGCGAGCTGAAGATTTTGGTAGGGCTGAGGAATGGGAAGCTGGAGCACTGATTTTGCTCCTGTGCCCCGAGGAAGTACCCTCCCCAGGGTCCTCCTGCTGACGGCGCTTTCCTCTGGCCTTGGATCGGATGGAAACGTCGGCCATTTTGTCTAGATGCCCCATATGCCCCACTTAAAATGGCGCCCTGATGCAGAGGAGATTGGCCTTGGTCACTTAAAATGGCGCCCAGACACAGAGGGAATTAGCCTCAGCCTCGCTAGCCTTACGGCTTGAGTGCGAAGAACAGTTAAGCCCGGAATGCCATTTTGCGCCAAGCAAATGAGGTGGGGGGGCGAGAGCCGTCGGTACCTGCAGCTGCTGATCGAGCAGAAGAAACTCTCCGGTTGTAAGAAAGGCGCGAAGAAGCAAGCCGCGCTGGTCAGCTGAGAAGGAGATCGCTCCAGAAGATAGGGAGCCAGCCGGTGCCCGAAGCGGCGAAAAAAACGGTGTGGAAGCCGCTCTCGCGCCTCTCAGCTGTTCATGAAGCGGTGGGAGTTCAAAAAGCCGCAGCGGCTGGCCAGTAGCAAGAAGCGCTTCGGAGCGCTCCAGCCTCCGCTTTCCTTGCCGAGGGAGGCAGCAACGCGGCGGAGCAAGCTATGTGAGCTTGTGCGCGTGCTAGGATCGTTCCTGAGGCAATCCAACAAGTATGAGGCTCCAGGCACAAGCAAATAGTCAAAAATTAGATCAAACTTGTCTTTAGGCTTTGGAGAAACTACAGACACGACTGTTATGGAACAGACCGAGTCGAAAAACTGGAATACAGCAGGAAGGGGCGGTGCTGAAAGTTCCAGGAGACTCGGTCATTGGATAACAGTCGTGTCACTACCCAGGCATGACTGCCATGGGCGCCCTGCAGGAGAATGAGTTAATTCTCAGATGTTCTAACAAAGTCTGTTTGTTTTCGAACTGTTTGTATTTAATACTAATTACTTGGGCCTGGGTCACAACACCCCCCAGCCAAGTCTCCGGAATCCCCCACACCAGCAAAATTATCTCCCTAGAGGGGTGGGAATGCATCTCCCTGCTAGGCCCCTTGCACAGCCCCCACGCAAACCCTGCGGAACTTAGGATGCGGCTCCCTTCCTCCTTGCAAGAGGGGAGATGGGAGAACAAAGCAAGCAAATGAAGCTTCAGCCTGCCGGCTGGCCTCTTTATTCTCCCTCACTCTTAAGGCAGCCCTCTGGAATAGAGCAGCAGCAGCAGCAGCACACATGGCTGCAAGAGGAAGAGAGGCCTTCTCCCTCCTCACTACTGGGCAATCTCATGTGAAAAACAGGGCAGCTGCTAGCAAAGATGGGAGAGTGCGAGGTTGATGCTTCTGGGATGAGGGGAGCCGGAAAGCGCCTTGGTCTCACCTGGCCTCTCTTCCTCTTGCAGCCATGTGTGCTGCCGCTGCCATTTCAGGAGGGTTTCCTCAGGAGCAAAGCTGCCTCCACAAAGCATTGGCGGTGTAATTATGCAGCAAGCACAGCTTCTCTCATTGGGACTCTTTGGTTCCCCCCCCCCACAATGGAGTGACAGTGGACTGAAGTCCCTGGCAAATCTTTTGAGTTCTTTCCTTGGCTGGCAAAAGGCGCAGCCCAGAAGCACTCTGATGGCCAAAAACAGGGTGCATTGATGCTTTCCGGGGCCTCCGCCAGCCTTTTTTGGCCTCCCCCCACCCTCCAGAAGCACTCTGCCGGCCCTCGCAAACATAAGTCCTGCACTTGGCCGAAGGGTGGGAGCTGGGGTGTGTGTGGCAAGGTGGCCGGGGCAGCCCCGTGGTCCGCATGGGCCAGATTAATGGCTTTGGCGGGCCGGATCTGTCCCGTGGGCAATAGTTTGAGGATGCCTGCCTTAGTGGCTAGAAAATTCAGGAAGTTTCCATGACATTTTAACAGAGAGCATATCTGGCAGTTAGTTTCCATCATGATCGTATTATGGAAAAGTTGTGTCTCCGTTTATCAATGGTACAAAGAAACTATATATTTTCTAAAGACCTGGAAGTGGTAATACTGTACTATAGTTAGCATTGATGGTATATAAAATTTTGGCTTTTGCTAATGCTAGAAAAGACAAAGAAAAGCTTGTCATAGATTTAAACTAACAGGTAGCCATGGTTTTAAACTAGTATATAGCTATGTTTCTTGAAGATTTTTTAACATTTGCATATAACTGCATAATCCTATGTTATTAGTTTCTGCTAGCATATTAAAATCAAATGTTACTGCTATTTTTCAAATACTGTATTTGCTTGTGAAGATATGATGTGTAATTTTGGCAAATAATATAGTGAAAGTTAATAAAAGTAGAACCTTGCATGAAGTGATTTGCATTTGTTTGATCTTCCAAATGGTGGGAAATTAAAAGTCTTAGCTGGTATCTCTTATCTTTAATTGTTTATTTTTAAAAACTGAATCATGAGATTTTAGACACAACTAACGGAGCACCATTTTACAGGTTGAAACTTCCAAGCCTTTCAAAGCAATGGAGCCCTTCAGTTGTCCATGAATTAGTTATCTTCCCAAGCTACTAGGTTATGAAGAAGTTCTCCTTGGAGGGCATTAGTTTAGAATCAGCTAATCTACATACGAATCTTAATTATATAGTACTTTATATAAAGCAATGTTATAATCCATTTGCATGGCAGGAATGAATATAACACATTCCATTTTATGAGAGTTAATATGTGATGAAACATTTAAATATCTTCTTTCTCCCCCTCCCCTCAATATTTTCTAGGACCACCTTTCTGAGCCCCGCTCTCCAGCTAATGGGGATTACAGGGACACCGGCATGGTTCTCGTAAATCCTTTCTGTCAAGAGACGCTTTTTGTAGGACATGAACAAGTGTCTGAAATATGAACCTTGTTCCAGTTCTTCGTTTTATCTTTACAATCTCCAAATTATGAATATAAATATATATGTATATTATAAATAAAATCTTTGTGTAGCCATGAAATATAAGAAACATTTTCAGATCCCCTCCTCTTTTTTTATGTGTGATTAAAAAAGTTTACAGACGAAACTTCAGCTTTATAAAATAAATGCTATTTCTAAGCAAAAAAAAACCCCAATCCTCTGTATTATTCAGATTGGGTTCCTCCCCACCCTCTACATTTAAATTTCTGGATTTAGGCAAGATATCATTCTAGGCACATCTAGGCAAGATATCATTCTAGGCACATCTATGCTTGAGTCAAGTCCATTATTCCAGCTGTGTATCTAATGACTGGAATTGCACAGGTGTTGATTGTTTTGATGGTATTTCCTTGACTGAGTTTGAAATTTTAGATCCTCCTCACTCTTTTGACGTATTAATACTGCTCTCTACAAGTGTGGTTAGTGAAAATACCTATTTGTATTGAATTTGGCCAGCACAGATAAAAAAAAAGGTTTTTCAGTAAATAAGATACAAAAACTTTGAGGTGACAAAAATGCAGATAGAATTCATATAATTATCACAAACTAAATTATAAAGAAATTTTGTTTCTGCGGTGAACAAGAATAACAAATATTTAGAATGTATGTGTGGGTAGACTTGCACATTACACATTTACTGTACAGATATGTAGAACTGAGCCTGAGATATTATAGGTACATTAGATGGACCTATTGCTGTTTTCAAAGTTTCTCTGAATATTCAAAGATGATATACAAAGTAGATTTCAGTATAAGATCAGCTTCTTTTTGCTGTATAATGTAACTAATAAATGTTACATTTAATGTTACATTAAATGTAAAGGAGCAAGTGATTTAATAATTGGCTCTTCAAACCTGCTTACTTCAGAAGGGCTTTCTGATAAAATTCCTGATGTTGCTACAACTCCCAGCACTTGTCATCTTTGGCATTATGGTTGATTGCAAGAGGTTTAGACTGACTTATATATTTTTATCCAAGAACCTAGGTTAGGCAGTGTTAAAGATATTGATGGCGTTAAAGATATTGTCACAATATGTAAGCTATTACAAGTAAAGTAAAGCTGCCTTTTGCAACTGACCAATAGACATTTTGTCCATATCAATGGTGTTTGGTGCTTCAGATATTTTGGGATTGCATTCAAGGCAATCTTTGCATTCTTTTGTCACCAGCATTCTACTTTTTTCACAAGTCCTTGTATTTTGTGATTTTTCTCAGTTCTTTTCCTTCTATTCTGCTGTCTGCCAAATCCACTATTCAATGTTAAATCTAGGGTATTATGTGGCAAGTGAATTCTAAAGTCACTTGAGCTTCTTCATTTTCTATGACTTTTTCTATTTATGGCCCTACCAGTTCTTCCTTGAAGGTAACTGCAGAAGGTAACTACTTCTTGCAGATCTTCCAATGTATTATTATTGCTGCTGTGTCTTGATATTGTTTGTAATCAGTCTGTACAGTCTTCTTGCAGTAACTAACAAGACAATCCTCAGTTTCTTCAGCTTCTTTGCAAATGTGGCACTTGCTGTCTATTGTTGTCTTCTCAATTCTGGTTTTGTATGCATTTATTCTTAAGGTTTGATCTTGTGCGTCCAAAATTAGCCCCTCTGTCTGTCAGGTCTTTTTTGCCTTTTTTTTTTTAATGTACTGGCCATGTAATACTTTGTCTTCCCATATCTCTTTGCTTTCTTCATTTGGTCTTTCTTGTGGAGCAGTTTGGTCTTTCCAATACTCAGTAAGCCTTGCTGGCATACTAGCTTCAGTGCATCCTCTTTGGTGTCCTTAAGATATTTTTCCAATGCCCTATTTTCTTCTTCAACCGTCTAATGTACTTGAAACATTCCAGGCCCACTTATTTTCCTTGGTAAATAAAGTCTGTCAATATAGCTGTGAAGAGAAAAAAATCATTGTCATTAATATTCTGGTCTTCCTATCCAGTTCTGCTTGAGTCAAGTCCATTATTCCAGCTGTGTATCTAATGACTGGAATTGCACAGGTGTTGATTGCTTTGATGGTATTTCCTTGACTGAGTTTGAAATTTTAGATCCTCCTCACTCTTTTGACATATTAACTTCTGGCTTTATTCTTGACTTCAGTGTGCTTGAGTTTATTGGCTTGAAGGATGCCCAGATATTTGTAGTATTCATCTTCATCCAGACTCTTGATTTTGTTTCCATAGGCATCTTGATTCCTTCTGTTTTCACTATTTATCTCTGTTTGATTGAGGGTGGCACATTTGTCTACTTCATTGCCGTATCTTGGTTGCATATATGGACAATGTTGAGTTACAATTGTATTTCCATACAGCTTCAGATTGTCCATATAAATGTGGTGGTATAGCCTGTCAAATTTTTTCATGTTTTATAGCCATGGACTGAATTATTCAGTACTGTTAACAAGAGGAATAAGTGCAATCACAAACAGTAGTGATGATAGTGAGTTTCCTTGAAAAATTACTCTCAATATTAATCTCTCCTAATCTGTCACCATTGACTAGCAACTGTGTCTTCCATTGTGCCATTGATCTTTGCACAAAGCTTCTGATGTTTCTACTGACTCCTGGTATTTCTAGGCACCTGATTATCCAATCATGTGGCAGAGAATCAAACCACTACTTCTAAACAATCCATGCTACATTCAAGTTGGTCTTTCTTCTCCTACAATTTTCCAGAATCATTTTGTCAATGAGGAGTTGATCTTTTATTCCTCTGCTGTTAGGACAGTTTCCTTTCTACTCAGGTAGAAAGAACTTTTTTTCAACTAGATGTTATTGGACTCCATCAGCTACCATGCTATTAGTAAGCAGGTAATTGGCCTATAGTTGCCTGGTGCTGCCCTTTTTGCGGGATCTTTCATTATCAAATAGATTTTGCCAGATGTTAGCTACTCTTCAATTTCACCTCCTTGTAGTATGTTGTTATACTGTTTAGCAATGAGTGTAAACCATTCAAATGTTTCAACTAAAAACCCTGCAGTTCATTTTCACTTTGCTATTGACCAATTCTTGACCTTCCTTGCTCTTTTCTCCACCATTTCTGCTGTTATTACAAATTGTTTAATTTCAGCTTTTTTATTTTTATCCACTTCCTTTAGCCAAGCTGCATTCTTGTATTTCTTTGGGGTGTCCCATAACTGTGCCCAGAATTGCACTTCTTTGTCAGGTTTTGACTGATTTATTGCAGTCTCTTCATTGATGGATTGATAGGAGCATTTCTGACTGGATTGAAACCGGAGAATCTGTTTATAGTTTGCAACTTGAGCCTCATATCTGCTGCTCTTCTTGCCTGTAGCTGTTATTTACTGCTTTAGTACACGTGTTTCCCCAAAAATAAGACCCACTTATTTTCTTGTGACTTCTGAAATAAGCGCTACGGCTTATTTTCATGGGATGTCTTAATACCCGCCCCCTTCAGGGCAGCTCAGCATCCCAGAGAAACTTCAGCTCTGGCCTCTGATGTTGCAAAAGGCATTGCTGGTGCTCGCTGAGCATGCTCGAGGCCAGCAAGCAGGTTTTAGCTTTGCCCTCAGTTGGGAACAGGGTGGTTCATGGCGAAATGGTGGGTGAATTTGCTTGTGAGGTATTCCTAAAGCCTCAGCAGAAGGGGAGGGCTGAGAAAATGGGGTTAATACGCGAGGTGTTAGTACAGGTCAAGCTTGGCATTTCACCTTCCTGCCTTTTGTGAACTTTTGGCTGCACGCAAGGAAAGCAGACGCAGAAGAGACCCTGGCTTGTTTCTCTCCTCCAAACTCCACCAGACATAGATCTTTGTGAGGATTGTTGTTACATTGCGTGTGCAAGCAGTGGTACCACGTTTGTTGCACCAGCACAGCCGCTTGTGGCAGGATGCCACAAGGCGTTCTGCCACCGCTCATGTGTACAACAACATGACCCATTTCTGGCTGAGTTTGGGGAAAAGAAACAAGCCAGGGTCTCTGCTGCATCTGTTTTCCTTGTGTTCAGCCAAAAGTTCACAAAAGGCAAGGTGAAATGCCAGGTTTGACTCATACTAACACCTCACGTATTAACCCCTTTACCAGCCTACTACCCAAGCAACCCTCCCCTCCTGCTGAAGCTTTAGGAATACCTTGCAAGCAAATTCACCAACCATTTTGCCACAAACAGGGCTCCCCAAGGAAAGAAGGATCAGCAGGAAATTCCCCCCCTCCCCATTTTCCTGCTGATTATCCTTTCCTTGTGCTGAAAACACGGAGGGAGCATTTTTTGGATGTGGGTCTGTGCAGGGCTGATGAGCAGAGGGGGGGAATCTTGTTTAGGTGAGTACGGTGGAGCAGACAGGCATAAGTGTGGGTGCTCCTTGGATTTTGTTGGCCGCCTTGTTCATCACTGTTTGATTTTGCTTGAGATGTGGGAGAGGGAGAAAGATCAGAAGCAGACAGGCAGATGCAGCACACCCAGCAGCTGGGCAGAGGTGAGGTGGGGGGGGGATAGATTCCAATGCATCACACTGCCTTCTGCATTGTCATAGCAGCAGCCTGAGCAAGACCCAAGCTCCAGGCTACAGGCCTAGCAGAGCGTAAACCATGGTCACTGCCTGCTCCAGAGCCACAAGATGAGCTGCCTGGCACCATGGGTAGGGCCAGGACTGACAAGAATGTGCTGGAAACACCTTGAGGCGCCCAGAGAGACAGAAGAGGCAGCTCCTGGCCCTCGCTGGCTCAGCTGATCCTTGATTAAGGGACTGAGCCTCCATGTAGTGACCAGGGAAGGGAATGGCTGCCTCTTATGCTGGCAACACCCACCACCTTCACTATGGCTTATTTTTGGGATAGGGCTTATATTCGGCACAGGCGTGAAAATCGGTCTAGGGCTTGTTTTCGGGATAAGTCATGTTTTCAGGGAAACACGGTATTTCCAGTGCTTCCTTCATCTTACTTGTTTCTAGGTGATATTTTTTCATCAGGTATTCCTTGGTCTACTTGTTCTTTAACTTCTTTTATTTCACCTGTTCTAGCTTGCTTGGATTTGATCCTAGCTTGCTGATCTTAATTTTCCAATCTGATCTTCCATTATTATTGTTTTTATCATCATCATCTTCCATTGACTCTGGAAGGTCCCCAAATAAAAAAGAGAAACAAATAAAACAATAATATAGTAAAAAATAAGGAACAAAATATGGCAAAAGCCAGGCAGCATTCCCGTTCTTCAGAATGAGCTACACTTATCCTAGCTAAAAATCTGAGCAAAATATCAAATCTTCAAGACCCTACAAAACACCAGCAGAGTGTGATTACCCAGATTTCAGGAGCAGGGCTCATTCCAGAGGTCAGGTATTGCAACAGAAAAGACATATTTCCAGGGTTCCAACATATATAATTTTTCATTGAAGAGGAATCAATATATAATTCCAAGTGGAATTAAGTTGGTCAGGCAAATACTATGGGGAATAGATGATCTGCCAAGTAACCAGATCTTATGCCATTTGGAGGGCTACAGGTACTACATCCATTTAAAAGCAATTATCAATATCCAGTATACATTCATTTATTTATATATTGATCCACCACCATTTCTATTTCAAAATTTTTGAAAGTGTGTTGAAATTGTTCTGGTTTTATGGACTTATTAATTTGGTTTAATTAGCACTGGACACAGCCATGTTCTGGTGCATATTCATTGAATATTATGCTTAGCCCTGGGC